TTCATTGGTGTGATTATTAATGATATCATACAACCTTGATTCATACCTTCAGTTGATTTCAGCCAATAAATTGTTGTATTGATGGGAATCTTTCTTTCCAACACCAAATAATATACCATTCCTTCCATGTGTCTCTGTCATCATATCTTTCTGTTTTCCTAGTACACATCACCATGAGGAAGGTACTGACTTGTATGCTTGTTAAAAATGACTCCCCACTAACACACAGATTTTGTGGTTATTTGTTGTTGGATCCAGGCATTAGATCTTGTCCCTGGAGTGGAACAATTAGAGTATAACAAATAACAAGTATCCAGCCTCAGTAGGAAGGTTCAAGCCTTTAATTACAGAACTCTTGGAGTAGAGAGAAGTGGATCAATAATTCAAGGCCATCCTTGTTTATGTAGCAAGAGTGAGGCCAGGCTTGTTGACACACCCTTTGTAATCATTGCCCAAAATAAATATCTTTTTACTTGTTTCATGACAAAACCACTGTTAATTATCATCTAGACATATGTCATAAGCTTATTACTTGTATCTTCACTAACATGCTTTTGCATCTGTTGTTTGTTTTGAGACAGAGTCTAGGTGAGTTCAGGCTGGGACACATTCACTGAGCATCTAAAAAAGACATTGAACTCCAGAACTTCTCTTGTCTTTACCTCCTGAGTGTTGGCATTACAGATCTGTGCCACCACATGTGGCTTGCATTTGGCTTTTCTTATGATGTACATATGTATATGGGTTTATGATGACATGAATGCCTATGTGTGAATGTGAGCATTCTTGTTCTAAGGTTTGAGTGTTGAAGTCAGAAGACAACATCAGGTGCTGCTATCTACCTTGTTTGAAACAAGGTCTCTTATTTCTTGTTCATCTTGTGTGTGCCAGATTAGCTGTTTCCAACCTTCAGGGAAATCTTCTGTCTCTACTCCCATCTCAGGGAAGGAACATCAGTGTGACAAATAGAAGTTCTACCACCATCTTTACATGGTTTCTGAGGATTCAAACTCAGGTCCTCACACATGTTTGACAAATGCTTTCCACTGAGCCATCTCCTGAGTCCAACTTTCAGCCTCTTTAAGTGACTCTGTCATGCAATGCCTAATTCACATTCTCTGTAGGTCTTTTACCCTCAGCCTCCAGTCCAGTTTTAGACTCTTTGAATTCATGTTTCCTACTAGCCTTAACCTGTCTGAACTCTTGGCTTCTCTCCTGACTTGATTCAGTTAGCCCCTCAGGTAACAGGGAGCAGTGCAAGTGTGCAATGGAAACTGATACGTAAAGAGTGAGCACACCCAGAACAGGAACAGTAAAGACACTGGGACTTTGGAAAACACATCAGACTAGCACTGTGAATGGACATAAAACTTTGGCATAAAGTCAGAAGGCTATTCTTAGAATGTCTCCAATGATCCACGTTTTAGAGGCTTGGGTCTCAATGAGACACTCTTAAAAAATATAGTAACCTCAGATATGGATGCCATTGGGTGGGGGCTCTCCCTCTGAAGGGGATAAGATAGATCTCCAGACAGGATAGTAACTAAAATGTCCAAGCCTGGCCATGCCCTAGACCCTCTGACTTCCTGTATTAGTGTGACTGATTTTCCCAGCACATGTTCCTGTCCTTGCAACAGGAACATGTGCTGGGAAATGTCTCCAGTGGTAAATGTATAAGGTGATGAGTTTGTTAATGAACTTGATTTTATCAGTTCACTATTTGTGTGTGTGTGTGTGTGTGTGTGTGTGTGTGTGTGTACATCAAACATCATGTTGAATGCTGTAAATGCAGACTGGTTTAATTTTTCTTAGTAAAGCAGAAAAGTGAAGAAAATCAAGCTGTCCCATTCTCATGTTTTCTGATTGACACTTTCTTCCTCTCTCCACAAGCATAAATGGATCATGGTTTGAGCACACCCATGGCTGGCTGTCCATGAAAGAATGGGACAACTTCCTGGTACTGAGTCATGAAGACATGAAGAAGGTCAGCCTCGTTCTTAAAGGCACCACACAGTTGAAGACGAGAGGAAGCGGTCCTTCAGCCACTGTTTACTTTATAGAAGTGAAGTCTGGTGATGAGGACGTTTCTGATAGTTGTGATTTCTTGTTTGTTTGTTTTTGGTTTGGAGATTTTCTTTTTATTATATTTTTAATATTAAAATGATTTTTATCATTTTATTATTTTTTATTTTTAAAAATGATTTTTAATTATGAATATATTTTGAACATATCATCCCCTCCCCAAGGCCTTCCAAATCCTCCACAGTCCTTACCAATCCAACTTTAATGTTTTTCAAAAAGGAAAAACACAGTACAAAAACAAACCTCCACAAATCAAGAAAAGAAAATATAACAAAGTACAATATAAAATGCTGTGATAGAAGGATTTCTGTCAACTTGTCATGGACTAGAGTCATGTAAGTGGAGGGGACCTCAATTAAGAAAATGCCCCCATAAGATTGGGCTGTAGGCAAACTTGTAAGGCACTTTTTTCTTTTCTTTTTTTCATTATTATTATTATTATTATTATTATTATTATTATTATTATTATTATTAAGAAATTTTCTATTCACTTTACATACCAACCACAGATTCCCCTGTCCTCCCTCCACCTGCCCCTCAGCCTTCCCCCATCTCACTCCGTATTCCCACCTCCTCCAAGGCAAGAACTCCCTTGGGGAGTCAGCAGAGCCTGGTACAATCAGTTGAGGCAGGTCCAAGAGCCCCCTCCCTGCACCAAGGCTACACAAAATGTCTCACCATAGGCACTAGATACGAAATACTAGCTCATGCACTAGGTACAGGTTCCTATCCCACTGCCTCGGGGGCCCCCTAAACAGGTTAAGCTAAACAACTGTTTTGCTTGTCCAGAGGGCCTAGTCCAGTACAGTGGAGGCTCATCAGCTATTGGTCCACAGTACATGTGTTTCTACCAGTTTCGCCACTTGTCTCTGTACTTTTTTCCTTTATAGTCTCGATGTCCCTTGCTCATAGAATCCTCCTCTCTTTCATTGATTGGATTCCTGGAACTCAGCCTGGCACCTGGCTGTGGATGTCTGCATCTGCTTCTCTGAGTCACTGGATGAGGGCTCGCTCTATTATGACAGTTAGGGTATTTAACAATCTGATCACCAGAGGGGACAGTTCAGGCACCCTCTCCACTATTGCCAGTAGCTGTGATGGGGTCATCCTTGTGGATTTCTAGGAACTTCCCTAGCACTCTGTTTCTCCCTATTCCCATGATGTCTTCATTTATCCTGGTATCCATTTCCTTGATCTCCCACTCCATCCCTGTTCCAGCTCAAAACTCCCATTTTCCTATGTTCTCATTCCCCATTCCTTGCCCTCCATTACCCCCACCCTCCCAGTTTGCTCATGTAGATCTCATCTATTTCTCCTTTGCTGGGTGATGCATGTGTCCTTCCTAGGGTCCTCCTTACTAGCTAGTCTCCCTGGAGCTATGAGTTGCAGTCTGGTTATCCTTTGCTTTACATCTAGTATCCACTTATGAGTGAGTCCATACCATGTTTGTCCTTCTGAGTCTGGGTTACCTCACTCAGGATGATTTTTTCTAGATCCATCCATTTGCCTGCAAACCTCATGATATCATTGTTTTTCTCAGCTGAGTGTATATGTACCACATTTTATTTATCCATTCTTCGGTTGAAGGGCATCTAGGTTGTTTCCAGGTTCTGGCTATTATACACAATGCTGATATGAACAAAGCTGAGCAAGTGCCCTTGTGGTATGATTGAGCATTCCTTGGGTATATGCCCAAGAGTGGTATAGCTAGATCTTGGGGGAGATTCATTCCCAATTTTCTAAGAAAGCACCATATTGATCAAGTTTTCTCACATTAGAGACTCTGACAGTGGTACCTCCCGGGATAGTTGATGTTTGAATAAGGAGACATTTCTTCTGGGTATGTTGGGAATGTGAGAAGCAATAGCACTAATACCCACATAGACCTAATCCCTGTCATCATAATTCTCCAAATTCCTGCAATTGTGGATATCCTTGCTGGAGGGATTGCAGACATGTGTGATGGATAAGTGGCTCCAGAGGTTGATCCATCTACTGACCTCATGCATAGTTCTAGAAAAATCCAAAATTACTTTCATTTGATGAGCTCTTCTGGCCATGAAGAGTGTGGCTACCTTTCCTTACATATTTCGCCACATGAGCTGAGCTCCTACTACCTGCTGTTTATTGGCTTGACAGTGTCCAGACCTTTCCTATGTAATGTGACGTTCCCTGTCCCAGCCACTCAGTCCCAAAGAAACACACAGAAACTTATGTTAATTACAAATACTTGGTCAATAGCTCAGGCTTGTTACTAGCTAACTCTTACACTTAACCCATATTTCTAGTTATGCTTTGCCACATGGATCATGGCTTATTATTTCATTTTTTAACATATCCTGCTTGCTCTATGGCTGGTTGGCATCTCCCCTGACTCTTCCCTCCTTCTTCACATCATTCTCAGTTTGTTTTTCTTGCCTAACTTCCTGCCCAGCTACCAGCATGTCAGCTTTTTATTAACCAATGATAGTAATACATATTCATAGTGTAGAAAATGATTGTTCCAAAGCATCCACCCCCCTACAATTGTGTCCTAGGTTTCTGTTTCTTCTTATGGCTCTATAAGGCTAAGTCTAGGCTCCCAGATTTGTAGCTCTCTGTCTCAGGTCCCTGCAGTAGCTCAGTTTTAAAAACCATTATCCCTCTGAAGATATCACTAGGAGATGCTCTTTGAATTGTACAGAATGACAAAATAAAATTTCTGCCCACTGCCTCCCATTCAAAAGAGGAATTACCACCTCACTAAAAACCTGCACCGGAATTTGAGGCTCAAAAGAGCTCTAGGATTGTCTGGAGGGGATACTGTCAGTCTGGTTTTACCTCGACTGCCTGGCATAATTTTTGGATGAGGCTCTAGCTTCCTCTTAATACCAAAGAACTGAGAAACTTGAACTCTGTTCTTCTGGGCTTACTTAATTTTTGCCTGTGTATGTGTGTGTGGTGTGCACATCTGTGTGCATGTATGTACAGTGGCCAGAGGTCAACAGCAGGTGTCCTCTTTGGTCACTCTCAACCTTCTATATTGAAACTACGTCTTGGGGAGAGGCTAGTTTTCCTTCTCTCAGCAGTCATCAGTTGCCTCCTTGTAGTTCTTTGTCTAGAGCTGGGGGACATTTGAAAACTTAGTGTTATTGTTCCACTGCCATTTCTTTCTTTTTTTCTTTTTCTTTTCCTTTTTTTTGAGACAGTGTTTCTCTGTGTAACAGGCCTGGCTGTCCTGAAACTTGCTTTGTAGACCAGGCTGGTCTCAAACTGAGATCCACCTGACTCTGCCTCCCAAATGCTGAGATTAAAGGCCTGTGCCACCACTGCCTGGCGCCACTGCCATTTCTAGGAGAGAGTCTTATACTAGACTTCCTGGTCCTTTGACTTTTATAATCTTCCCACCCCTCTACCACAATGTTCCCTGAGCTACAGATGAAGGGTTGTGATGGAGATGTATTCACTCGGGCTGGGATCCACATGGTTGATGATCTCTGCATTGTGACTGTGTATGAATTATGCACACACGGAAAACCCCCAGCTGGCCGGGTCAGGGTATCCCATGAGTGCAGGGGACCATGCTGGCATGCTGGACAGATGCAGCAGTGGGGTGACGGGGTGGTGGATGGATACTCACAAACAGGAGGCTATATCAGCACAGAAATGATTTGTTATAATAGAGAGACAAAGAGAAGATAGGAAAGAGAGAGAGAGAAGAGAGAAAAAGAAAGAGAAAGAGAGGGAGGTTGAGGGGTGCACACCTCATGGGAGTGGAGGGAGAAAGAGAGGTGGGGTCGGAGATTTTAATTGTAGTTTTCTGTGATGGTCTCCACTTACTGTAAAGAGAAGCTTCTTTGATGAAGAGTAGCTACACTTACGATGTTATTCTATTTTAGTTAAAGATATG